CTGGTCTTATAGTGCCAGGAAGTAAGAAAGGGATACCTGAAACACACAGATACACAAACTCACAATGATAGGGATGTGTCAAAGGAACCTAAGAACTGAGAGAGTCATCCATGGCCAAGTTTAATAATTTGAGTAACCAAGTAAATTACTAGGTTAGAAACCGAAAGTATAAAAATATCCACATATCCATACTGATATGAGTAAATGAATACAAAGTAAATAAATAAGAGAAAATAGACAAATCACTGTGCAGAACAATTCCAAATGATTTATGCAGACAGCCTCGGGGAAGTAGAGCATATCTCTGTTCCTTAAGCATGGCTACAGAGTGACTTCCTTCCAAAGAACAAAGTATAGAAAACTGGAAAAAAAACAACAAAAAACTTTAGAGTGGAGGGAACAGATCGATGCCATCTTAAATCACCAAGATTAACATACCAGTGATAAGTTATGTTGATAGTATGGTTCCTAGATGTGATGTAATGAAAATGACACTTTATCTGTATCTCCCCTAAAACTCATAACCTAGTCTAATCATGAGAAAAACACCCATTCCATCCGATGGTAAGATAGTCTGCAAAGTACCTGACCAGTATGCCTCAAAACTGTCAAAGTCATCAGATCAAGCATAATTTGATAAACTATTATAGCTAACAGGAGCATAAGGAGACAGGATGACTAAATGCATGATGGTATGCTGGAAGGGATCCTGTGACAGAAAAAGGATAATAAGTAAAACTAAGGAAATCTAAATAGAGTACACACTGAGGTGAATAATAACGTATCAACATTGATTCATTAATAGTGACAGCTGTACTACACTATTGTAAGATGCTCCTGATTAGGGACACTAGGTATGGGGTATACATGAACTGTTTGTATTGTCTTTGTAATCTTTCTATAAATATAAAACTATTTTAAGTTTTATTTTTAAAAATTCAAGGAGATGAAATAATAAGTCCACAATGGGAACTGTTACTAGCTTAAAGGACAGTTATTTTGTTTATTACACTGGTCCTCAAAGGTCAGCTCCATATAAAAGCTACTATACAGAAACAAAATGTTTCTACATATCCAAAAGGTGAAACTCAGATGTTATGTAAAATAATATGTTTTATTCACAACTTGATTTCTTTAGTATTTTTTTCTTACACTAGGAAAGTAATAGTTTTATTTACAAGCAGAAATGTCCTAAGTCATCCTTCTCATTGTTTTCAGGCTTACTTAATAAAAGCTTATGTGGGTAAAGAATGAGCACAGGGTACCTATGAGGAAGATGAATGAGATATATTAAACCTGCCCTTGATGCTGACAAATCTGGCTGCAGTTACTTTAATGTGCACAATACTTGTGAAGTTCTCTACAGTAGTGGGCGTGTGCTGCCATTCACAATTTGTGCATCATCATTATGTCCCCAGGAGCTGTCAGTGTCCCCACTTTGATCAGCTTTTACCCAAATGATGCAGAGATGGTCTTGCCAGAGAGGACATTATTCCTAAATTACTCTGAGTTGTCTTCTTCCCCAATTCTGAACCATTTTTAAAAGGCACTCTGTATTTAACCTCTAAGAAAATCAACTTTGGCAAACAATGACATTACTCAATCAAGCAGTCTTTGAAAGCTACACAATTTTTGTTTTTCAATGATGTAAGTAAATAACAAAATATCCCACTTCAGCCTAGTTAAGTGCGCATTGATATTTATTTGATAGCTTCACTCTGAAACAGTTGATTATTTTGTTAAAGAAGTAAGTTTTAAAATAAAGCACAAATCTCCAATTACTAAGATCCTAATCTGTGCAATTAAGATGAGACAAAATCAGTTTTGAATGATACATGATGATGTATGTATTTCCCATGTAGTCATTCATATATGCGTGCATTCAACAAATATTTATCAAATCTCTATATGCAAAATACTTTTCTGGTGCTAGAAATAGAGCAGCGAAGGAAACCAAATTAATCCTTCCTTCATAGGACATACACGTTAAATGCAATTTATGAATAGGAAGGTGACAACACCACCAATTATTGGGTAAAAACTGACAGTTACTTATAAGAAATATATCAGTCAAAAGGAGAATGTTTGCAAAGTAGTAAAGTGAATGAAGAATTTTCAAGACCGTCTTGGTATATTTAGTAACAGAGTGCAATAAATACACAGGGCTAATGGGAAAATGAGTCTAATTCATGATTCGTAGTAACTCATAAAGCTATTCACTACTGATCACAGTACATTAAAAAACTCCGCTGTCTGCCACAAGCCTCTGTTACTGCTTCTGCTTCAATAAATTTGCTACTTTGCTACAAACATGCTGATGAACTGGGGGCACATAGCTTACTTTTTCTTGTTTCTTGTCTTCTGGATGCTTTGTCCACCATGAAGAATATGGCATGATTTTCCCTCACAAGGAAATCAATAGGGACTTTGAATCTTTACCAAAATGTGACTGTGAGAACTGCCAATCTATTACAATTTCCATAGAAGTATGTATACAGCGATTTAAAAACTACTTTTAGATAATGTGGGCATTAAATGCACACTAAGTGTTATTCTTGAAAAAACTTTATGGAATTGGGTACCTTTAAGAAAACTAGATAAGGATGAAAATATGCATCCTCTGAACCTGAATATAAGAAAGGTCTGTGATTAAAAAAACAAAAGTGCACATTAAAATACTGAAGTCATTATCACCCTATTATCCTATATAATAAAAGGATAATATGAAAATTGATCCTAATGAAGAAATGACCAGGAATGACCAGTCGCTATGATGTGCACTGACCACCAGGGTGCAAACACTCAATGCAGGAGCTTTTCCCTGGTGGTTAGTGCACTCCCACAGGGGGAGCTCTGCTCAGCCACAAGCTGGATTGACGGCTGTGAGCTCAGTGGCAGTGGTGGGAGCCTCACTCACCTCCTCCACAGTGCTAAGGAAGTCCTACTGTGGATGAGCTCTCAGTCGGACATCCCTCAAGGGCTCCCAGGCTGCCAAAGGGATGTCTGACTGCTAGCTTAGGCCCAATCCCCCAGGGAGCAGGCCTAAGCCAGCAGGTAGACATCCCTGGAGGGGTCCCTGACTACAGAGCGGATACAGGCCAGGCTGAGGGACCACCTTGAGTGAACGAATTTTCATGCACCGGGCCTCTAGTGGGTATATAAAACATGAAACAGTTAACTAATTTTGCTCTCTCACAGATATATGTCTGTTTATTTTAATTGTATTAAAAGATGCATTTCACCCTTGAGTTTCATAGTTGAGTTCGTTGACATATAATTTAAAAATAAGGTCTTGTTTTTTTTGTATATTACTTTGCTTCTGTTTTGCCACCAATGACTCATTCCATTTATACTTAGTAGATGCTCCTCTGTCCCAGGCACTGATCTAAATCTAGAGAATCAGCAGTGAATATAATAAACATATTTCTGCCCTCACAGAAAATTATATTCTACTTGAGAGGACAGAAAAAAAGCAAATCTCTATTTAAGATATGATATTAGAAGATACAAGTGAAAGAACTAAGGAGAAAAATGAAACACTGAAGGAGCTGAGGGCATGATGAGGTGAGAAAAGATGGAGATGAGATTTAGTTACTCGAGTGGTAAAGTAGACAAGAAAGATCTCAGGAGAACCCAGAGGAAAGGGAGAGTCATGGAGAAGCACCTCTGAGCGATGAATGCCAAGTGCTGTGGCCCTTGGGTAGGAGTGTGTCTGAAGTGCCAATGAGCAGAAAGCCTAGGCAGGGCTGCTGAAGAACAGTAATAGGAGGTGGGGTGAGAGAACACGCATGTGTTGATCCTTGTTTGAAAATCTGGGTTTGTGTATTACTCTTGAGATAATCATATATATATATAAATCATTTTTATATAAATGTACATTTTGAGTATATAAAATTGAATTTCAGCATATGTCTGATACTGTTTAAAATGCTCTGCTGTTGATAGGCAATGACTCTGGTTATATTCTACTCATTATGTCTGCCATCATTAACATCTTATATGTACCTATTATATACATATATATGTGTGTGTGTGTGTATACATATTATATCTAATATATATTATATCACAGGCACATCATTTATTAGATGATGATAGTCTTTCCTATATCTTTTATAGAAGTTAAAAGCTACAAAATAAAGATAATCTACATTAAAAAAAAATGTTAGTCAATACCTCTTTATAATGTCAAACCCAGAGCCCACACAAGTATCAACAGATGAATAAAAATGGATGTTGAATCAAATATTCATATGTTTGGGAATTTAAAATATCCAGACATATCTGAAATAGCATACAATTTGTTCTATTTTCATCAAAAAACTTTTTCTTGTACGATTTAGTAGACATTGGCCAATAGCAACAAGCACCATAGGTGATTGTGACATCTCATGAAATACTTGTGGAGAATAGAAACAAAGGAAAATTTTTGTTTTATTTGCAATTTTTTCTAAGATACAACGTATTTTATAACATAGTTTTGAAGAAAACATGCACCATATTTAATATATAAATTTAATAATGATTATAGATCTGACAATTTCAAAATAATATATAAAAGAGAACCTTAAAGATGCAAAAATGCAGGAATATAGATAATTAGGTATCTATTAGCATAATGGCATATATTATACAGAGTCCATAAATTTTAAAACAAGTATTTCAGGTCAACACAAATATCCTTATTAAGAAAAAGTAAAATCATTCATTTATGTTTCTAAACGTTATAGAAAAAAATGCAGACTTTAGTTTCTGTGTGACTACAGTTTTATGATAGAAAATTTTCAGGATACTTAGTTGATTTATATTTGTAAAACACTTTACAATCTATAAAAACTTGTATTATATAGAGAAAGTAAAATTGTTTCCAGGTTAAAAGAAAATTTAATTGTTGGGGATTTTTATTATACTGCCTTGCAGAAATGCCAATATTCATTATACACAGTTGTAATTTTGGGGCTCTGTTAATCATGCTACTCTTTTTTTATACTATTTTGCAGCCCCCTCTCCAATCACCAATGTGAAAAAGGGGAAGATTGCAAAGAACAGCATCTCTTTGTCTTGGCAAGAGCCAGATCGCCCCAACGGAATCATCCTGGAGTATGAAATCAAATATTTTGAAAAGGTAGGACTAACAAAATAAAGAATGTCCTTTCTTCTTCTTCTCTTTTTTTTTTTTTTTCATTTTAGAAACGGCAATTATCCAATTTGTAGAAAAGCCTGTTGCAATTTTATGTGTAAATCAATGACAATTGATTCTGCAGTCATGATTATGAAGGTGAGGAGTGTACAGGGAGCACGCTATGTGTGTCCTTTTGCTGCCAACTAGTTTATGCTGCCCGGATACTGCCATATAGTCTAACATTGGCTTAACTAGGTTTCACAGCATTAAGAGATGAAGTCATAGGACATTTTCAAAGTGTCACAAACACTAAAGTTGCTGACCTTCGTTATGACTAAAGTGTACTACAAGAAAAAGCACTTGTGTACTGTAACCCTGCATAATGCCTATACTGTTAAGGAAGTGTGAACAGATAAGATGTGTATGTAATGTATACATTTTTAAAATCCATAACAAAGTAGCATAAAGTCCAAACACTGTACATAATATTTATTTTAAAATGTTGGGCCCAAAATTGGAAATGCATGCCTCACATTCCCTATATTTTCTTGATTTCTTCACTGAGTTGACTCTTGGGTCCATTCTTACATGTTTGCCATAATAGTTTTTGAGGTCTGAAGGCAATAATCATCCTGCTTCTTTTCTGGATCCACAACTAAGTGAGCTACTGATAAAAGAATCGAACAAATGGAAACCAAAGACGGGCCTATAATTTCTGGAGCTGGACCGGAGTATTTGGCTTAGATACGCAGCCATCATGAGTCTTCCAGCTCCCAGCCCAATTTCACTGTGATGTTTGTGGTCTGGATCTGAGTGACATACACCCCTAGAACAACCTGGGTTCTAACAGAGAAGATGAAGAGAGAGGAGTACCCAACCAGCCTCGTCATTAGTGGGTAGGAGAAACTGACCCAGAAGTGTGTGTCCTACAGAAGTAGAAGTGAGGGTGGTTGTAGATTATAATGCAGAGAAGCAGATCCCAGGAGATAAGGGTAGGGCTCAGCCACACTGACTCAATTGCTTCTCCCAGACTCACGGAGACATCACCCTTTCCCCCATAAGGAAGAGGGAAGAGGTTAAGAGGTAGTACAAAAACTTATTTTGCAATGCCTAAGAAATTGCCCAAACTATGCATGGGAAGAGAGTGGGGGAATAAATTATTATCCTTATACTACTGCAAAAATATAATGAAAAATGCTGATTTCTTATTAATAAAAATACTTTAAAATCTAACATTTTGTGCATAGATAAGAGTGTAAGTAAATACACTGAAATAATTCATAGCATTATAGAATATATATTTTATTTTTTTTCTTTAATTATTGATTTGACAATTACTTGTGTAAAAGTACAACAGAGTACAAAACAGTAGGTTAGGATGTGTGGGGAGGTTGAGAGCAAGGCTAACTACATATTCTTTCTAGGTCTTCTCTGCCTGTACAATGTTCGTATACTGATTTTATAAATAAATGAGGAAACAGAAAATTGTTTCTTTTGAAATTGTTTTCCTAGGAATGACTTGATGTAAATTATTGACTTAATGTAAACTATTGGGTCATTAGGGAACATAACTGAAGATACTTATATTTCACAGAAAATACTTCATCAAATACATTATTCACCAACAATGCTCTAAGAGAATACCTCTAAGAAAAATCGATGTTGAGACATGGTTTATAGATTTTATTGTAAAAAAACAAGTAAATTAAGTAAAATGTTATATTAATTATCCCTAACTGATCCCTGTTTCTCAAAACTGAAATCTGAATTCAATAGGTCTACAATTTAAACACATTCTATATCCAAATATAATTTGTTAAATTAAAGTTTGCATTTCTTACTCAAGTGTTTATAAACTTTTATTTTTTTACTATGGAATATTTGTAAATATTATAAGTTCCCAAATTTTTGTTGTAATTAAATTTTATTTTGTAAAAAGTTGAAATGCATAATGGCACTTAAAAATAACTATACACCAAAAAATATGCATCTGAATATCTGTCTCTTAGATGAAATAAAGTTCAAGAGCAGGGAGACTAAACGTTCTATAAGTACTTCTTTTTTAAAAAATATATATTTTTACTAGAGGCCTGATGCATAAAATTCATACAAGGGGTTCGGCCCTTGCAGCCCTGGCTGCCTTGGCTCTCGCAGCCACTTAGCTGGCCTGGCTTCATCTGGAAGGTTGTCCGGAAGGTCATTCCACTGTTTGACTGTCTGCTCTAATTAGCATATTATGCTTTTATTATTATAGATTGATTTCAGAAAGAAAGGGAGAGGGAGAGATAGAAACATTAGTGATGAGAGAAAATCATTAATTGGCTGACTCCTGCATGAGCCCACAACCTGGGTATGTGCCCTTGCCAGTATTGAACCCGGGACCCTTCAGTCCCCAGGCCGACACTCAATCCTTTGAGCCAAACTGGCTAGAGCAAGTGCTTCTTTACTAGCATAGTTTTTCTACCCTGAAGCAACCATCTGGGCCAATGTCTGGTTTTTCCTTTTTGTCTTTAAAGGCATTATCTGATTTTTCACATTTATGAATAAACTTTGATTATTTTTATGATTACTTCCCAGCATCTGTATGAGTGCCATATATATAGTGGTTGGCAAAAATAGGTTTATAGTTGTCCATATGGAAAATAATACAATAATTAATAAATAATAACACAAGAATAAACTGTGTTTCACATACTCACAACTGTAAACCTACTTTTGCCCCTCCTCTGTAATATAGAGGCAATTCTTTATTTCTTTTTAAAAATTTTAAGCTGCTACTAGAGTTACTCAACAAGTGGTGGAGCAGAGATCTTTTCTATTAATATTTCTTCTGATGATTGTATTTATGTGATGGAATATTATTTATAGTTTAATTTCTTTTCTTTTTTTAATATATTTTATTGATGTTTTACAGAGAGGAAGGGAGAGGGATAGAGAGTCAGAAACATTGATGAGAGAGAAACATCAATCAGCTGCCTCCTGCACACTCCCTACTGGGGATGTGCCCGCAACCAAGATACATGCCCTTGACTGGAATCGAACCTGGGACCCTTGAGTCCGCAG